TATGATAAAAACAGAAAATTCTACATATAAAAAATCAGACCTTTGTTCAGGATCTACAGAAGCATAGAAAGAAATTAAAACAAAGTCAGAAGAAATTACAAATCAAATTGAAACTTATCTTGCTATGTCAATTCTTTTGCATTTGCAAAGTTTTGTACAATTCTGTTCTAACTTTTCACAATTGTCTAATAATCCTCAAATATCAAATTCTTCCAAAAAGCCAGATATAATCATCATTGAAAAGGAAGTACCTAAAAATGCTGCAGCATAAAAAAAACTCTTACAATAAAAAAGAAATGTTCACAAAATTACTTGATTTACAGGCAACCTATGAAATAGCTAGAAATCCAGAATTAAAACATAATATTTTGCAGCGAATTGCAACAACAATAAAAATAATTACTGATAAGACTAAAAGAATTGCAACATTGAAATGAAATGCAACCTATCAAGCCAAATCAGCAGCAAAAAAATTAAAAATATTACATGAAAATCAAGAAGTAATAACATATAATTCACCTGGATAACCATCAATTCTTTACAAATATCCTGATCTTCATGAACATATTCATGATTGTATTGAATTTAGAAAAATACATAAAAAATGATGATGTGAAGTGATTAAAGTAAGAACTATTCACCATTTTCGTTCAGCATTATAAGAGAAATATAATGAGTACCTTATAAGAACAACATTAAATACATATATTTTACTACAAAATTCTTTAAGTCTTACTGCTAAAGCACATCGTTATTCTGCATTAGTAGCAATTGCAGGTGTTTCAAGAATAGAAAAAAAAAACATATAGATGAGCATTATTGTCTTTCTTTTATTAAAGGAGTAAGGCAGTTTACAGCATTGTTTTCTTCCCAATCTGTTATCATTTCACAAGATGACAAAACAAAAATTCCATTTGGTATTCCTGTTGTTAGAAAAACTTTTCAAATGATGCAATCAATAAAAGAAGTTGTTTTGATCGCAGATTATGATTTCCTAACTGGAGCTTAGCAAAAATTAATTCTATCTGTTTATCTTGCTATTGATCCTTCAGATTCTAATAATGCACTTCATCATAGTCAACTAAGTATTTTTATTTACCTATAATATAATATAGGTATAAATGCAAATACACATATGGCTGATTTGATTTCTCTTACATGTCAAGAATCATTTGCCAGCATTTTTAAAAATAATGATCAAATTAAACCAATCTGGATTCTTCTAGTTGATGGAGGACCAGATGAAAATTCCCAATATCTAAAAAATATATATGAATATTGCAAGTTATTTTGATATTTTGATCTTGACTATTTGACAATAAGAACTCACACTTCAGGTCAATTAGCTTATAATTCTATTGAAAGAAGTATGTGTACTCTTTCTAAAAAATTAGCTGGTATAACTTTACAAATAAATACATTTGGCTCTCATCTAAATAGTCAAGAAAAGGTCATAAATCAAGATCTTGTAAAAAGAAATTTTCGTCATGCTAGAGAAGCCTTATGCAATCTTTGAAATTGAGATCAAATCTTTGAAAACCAGTATTAATCTAATATGTTGAAGATAATATTTCTTCATTTTCAAATATACTATTTATGAAAGATAAAATATTTGAACAACAAATTAATGAAGAATTTGAAGTTCCTTGGAAATGGATAGAGAGACATACTCAAATTTGTCAATATAGCCTTAATATTAAAAAATGTAATAACATTATTTGCTGTAATCCTGTAAAACATGAAAAATCAATTGCTTTTCTTGCAAAAAATAATGGTTTTTTACCACCAGTTACAAAAGGTCAAAATGGATATTTTCT